ACATGATCCTTCAGAAATTATTTTAATATGCTGATTTGCTGCTCATATGACATTTTTTATTATCAATGTTGAAAACATTTGTGCTTGACATTTTGTGTAAACCGTGATTATTTAATGAATTGAATGTTAAAATGAATAGCATTTATTTAAAATTCTTTGTAACATTTTATAAGTGTCTTTATTTGATCAATTTAATGAATACATCCTTGCTAAATACAAGTATTAATTAAAAAAACTTCTTGTCCTCAAATTTCTGAATAGTGTTTACTCTATGAGCTAAGGAATCAACAGCATGTTGCATTTTGCTTAACCAACTTAAGCAAAGTTCAAATCCTCCATGAATATTGTATTTATATTTCTCGATGTGCATGTTCCTGAAACAAAGAAACACACTGGAGAGAGATGATAAGGAAGGCAAAAGAGCTAATCTGGACTATCTGAATAAGATTATTTAGATGATTTAAAGTTGTGTCTGTTTGTATTCATGCAGATTCCTTTCACGTTCATAACAGACTGTAAGTGCAGTTAGTAAGTGCAAGTACCAATCAAATGACGGCTTCTCTCCACAGTCGAAAGCATCCTGAAGCTCTTTAACGAGGTTGGCTTGTCCAGGCAGACGGAAGAGCCCTTCTTCTCGTAGACCCCAATGGCGGATGAAGTCAACGCACTGCTCCACCAGCATGGGCGCCATCTTATTGCCATAACGACGTTCATATCGCACTGTCTCTTCCAACTTCTGACCAAAGATTCCTGAAACACAAACCCATAGTTCATGAGGATCAGATAAGCTAATATTTAGGAACGTTCTGATGATTTTACACAACTTTGAGACACCCCTGCTGAGAAATGTTTTATTTTATTTTATTTTATTTTACAGACCTAAATATGCATGTGAATATTATTGGTGGTAAGTGTTATATTTGATCTTTTATTTAATATTTTATGTAGGCTATTGTTATGGAAAGTAAGAAGTCTTGAGCTATCTGACAAATCTTTTAGAGCCTTAAAAAATAGTTTTAACTCAAGAGGAAAGTCCATGTTGAAAAATAGTTGATTCCTCTATTCCTATATGTAGGAAAAAAAGTGAGGAGAGAGCTGCTAAAGAAGCCTGATTTAAGCTATTCTTTCACGTCACGCTCTCTGAGAAGAAAATCGCACACTTCCTCTCCTTCCCTGTTCTTTTGTCTGCATCAGTCGGGCTGAAAACAAGCGTGATTCACATGTGGCATGCATATGAGCGGGGATTAGCCCAGACTTCCTGGAAGCTTTGGATCGGTAGCGCTTGCCGGGTCTCCAGACGCACATGCGGTACGAGATGGTACAAATTCAACTAAGCCTAGAAGACAGGAAGGGTTTTGCCGTCTTTTTCCTGCCTGAGCTGATGGAGGGGGAAAAGAGGTTGGACAGGTGAGAGAAACAATATTTCACATTTTCTTTGATTCAAAAGAAAGTCT